GGGTTAATGTCCTGATTGTCCCAGGCCTGCTGTCCCTCAGGAGGGCAGGAGGCTGTGACCACTTTCTGCTGAGCTTAGAACCCATGAAACTCTAGACATTTTATTATCTCTATGCCTTATATTTTCTTTGTTGGAGATGCTGTTGGGCCTTCAACACATTTTTCAGGGCTGGCTGCCATATTTTACCCACCCTTAAAATGCAAAGGTTTGTGTGCATTTTTCAGAGACCAGTAGCAGAGCTGTGAAGGTCCTCCTCTGAGAGGAGGAAGGGCATTATGTCAGGGAAAGGGCTCATGGGGACAGTTTCTGCTGCAATAAGGGGGTGTGCATCACACAGAGGATGGAGAAGAGGGTACCTGGGGAAAACGCCTAGAAGGAAGTTTTCTATAAATCTTGACACCTTCTGGGTCTCCTGTCCTAATCAGAAGTATTTAGCTTCTTGGCAGGAGGCCTGGTAGGCACTGAGAACAAATGAGCCTTTATTTTTAAAGTAAAACACTCTCTCTATCCTTAAGAAGCCAACAGTCTATTTGGATAAACAAATTCTATTTATATGCATATCAATAGAAGCAGCAAATGATGTTCTCTCCAAATGCTCTAATATTGATAAATGTATATTATCTTTATTCTTTCTCCTTTACCTCAAAACTCATTTTTCGTAAATGTAACACATTCCTAAAACCCTAGCTTTCTCATATCAATTCTTCAATTTACATTAATGTTCTCTCTTCTCTCTCTCTCTTCTGTTTCTCCACTTGGATTCACCATTTTTTAAAATTGCATCTACATTGATGTTTATCCTTTTTACTTCTTTGCTGAGCTTTAGGGCATATTCAAATTAAGAAATATAATTTAAAATATGAGACTGTGAATATAGTAAGTAGCAAACAGAGGCTCAATGGCAGAAAGGCATATGGATCAGGCTAATTGGAAAATGGGGGCAGGGAAAGAAAAACTCTGAGAAAAAGAAAATAAGCTTCAACTCAGCCCAAATATTAGTTTCAAGCCAAAGAAGTTGGCCCAGCCCCAATTCTATCCTTGGTTGCACACAATATATGATTGGTGCATTTTCAGAAAAAAGGAAAAAACCATCAGCAGGGTGAGAATCTAAACATCTATTTTCCATCCCAGTGACAATCAGAAGTCATTCTTTGCATTTATTTTTCAACTTTGTATTTGCCTGTGAACAAAATTGAAGCTGGCAAAAAATGGTTCATGTGAATTACTTGAACAACAGTTTCTCATTGTGTTGAATTACATCGAGGCTGCTTACTGTGCAGTCTGGCCACAGTCCAGTAACAGAGGAAGATACTGTCATTCTTCTTTTCCACGACCATGAAGTTAACCCACTTCTCTCCCACAGAAATGAACCGACGGTCCTCTCGAAAGTGGGGGGAGAAGCTCTCCAAATCCTAATCACGAAGCATTTACCCACTGCTTATTAATATTGTAGGAATCAAAAGCCAGTGAATCCTCTCATGTCACTCCATTTTCTTTTTGCTTTGCTAGATTCGATTTCAAGATTACATGGCTTCCCAATGTTTGGAGTACCTCTAGTAGCCAACCAAGTAAGGAATCATGGAACCACAGCCTTAGCTAGCAGTATTTTCTTTCTTTCTTTCTTTCCTTTTTCTTTATTTCAGAATATTATGGGGGTACAGACATTTTGGTTACATGTTATGACTTTGCCTCACCCAAGCCAGGATTTGAGGTGTGCCCTTTCCCCCATACAATGCTCGCTGCGTCCATTAGTTGTGAGTTTACCCACCCCTATCCCCCCAACCGCCAAGTATTTTCATCTAACTTTGAAAAGCCACCTAGCCCAGAACGGTAGTTGAGAGGCCAAAATTATCACATGGGTTCCAGAGTTATTCGTAACTCTGGCCTGTTCCTAAATTCACAGTCTACCACTAGGGGGAGGGATGAATGAAAAAGGCCCCCGCCTGGAGGTGGTGGTTAGAGCAATTCTCCAAGGCAACATTTAAAGGAAACCCATTTGCAAGTGTTGGGGTTTAAGCTGTTGGCCTCTCTGTTCATGATTATCCACCATCTACTTCCAGGGCTGATTAGAGCGGACACTGCAGGTCATGGGAGGGCTAAGCCCCATCTAGCCAACTTCCTCCTCAGTACTCCCACAAATCTGGGGTGGAAAATGCAGGTTCAATTCCTGCCACTTGCTAGCCGTGAGCTCCCCAAATCTACTTGCTGCCGTTTCTTATGAGTAAAGTGGGGTTAGTAAGACCAGCTCTCCCCATTGATATTCAACTGAGAAGCAGGATATTTAAGTCCTTTACAAGCATTAACGTGCTGTACAGATACAAGGACGGTTACTATTTTTCTGCTGCTCCCTCTGTCTGCATATGGGTCAAGGGCACCTCCAAGCAGAAGCATCAGACACTCATAAACCCACCTCATCATCCCTGGAGCCTTGATCTACAAGTAAATAAAGGATGAGCAAAGAGGGAAGGGAACTAAACATGTTAAATTCCTTCTTTCTGCCTGTTGTGAGTTGCAGCCTGATTTCTTTCAGGCCGACTTTGACGATTCTTAAGTCTTCAGGAGCAGAATTACTTTCATGGCTGCTCACCATTAATTACAGGAAGAATCTATGACCCGAATCCAGAGTCCTTTCTCTAGCAGCAAAAGTGTGTGATTTCTCTAAAGACAGTTAATTTTTTAAATCTAAAATAAATGGTTAAACTGAAAAAAGCCTGTGTCTCTCTCAACCTGTACATGAAGCAATGAGGTGTAGAGCAGAGGGCTGGACTTGGATGCAAGTTCTGTTCCTTTCTAGCTGTGTAACACTGGGCTAGTCACTATACCTCTCTGAGTCTCCATTTATAAAAAAGGAACAATACAAGTCCGGCCCTCCGCATGAGATGGAGCACTGGGTGATAAATGAGATAATATATAGGTAGTTATTAAGAACCTGGGCTGTGCTAGCAGACATCCTGGTTTCAAAGGCTGGCCCTAACGTTTACTAGGTGAGTGACATTGGTCAGGTTAGTTAAACTTTCCAGTCCTCAGTTTTCTCATCTGTAAAACAGGGCTAATAATAGTGTCTGGTTTACAGGATTGTTGTGAAGCACGCAGAACGATGCCTGGCCAGAGTAAGCACCCAATAAACGTTAGCTCTCGTTACTACAAAGAGCATTCTGCACATTTCAGTAGCAATGGGATCACTGGTACTCGTCAGCTGAGACAAGTAAAAAGCCTCAGCTCAGCTTTGCAGCTCACAGTCAGAGGCGGGGAAGAGAGCTAACTCATTAAGGGTCTTTTCCGGAGGAATGGAGGAGGTGCCTGCATGACCAAGAGTGATGGGGAGGGCCAGGGGTGGAATTAAAGATTCCGTAGGAAAGCTGGCTGTGAGCGATGGCAGGGTGTGGGGAGCGCTGGAGGGGCCTGCGGTAAGGATGCTAATGGTAGGACTGGTGGGGAATGGGGTAGCCGGTGATGACAGGAAGTGGAAAAACTAGGGAAAGACTTCTGTAGGAGAAGCCAGTTCAGACAGGAGGTGGACCGGACAAGGAAGGAGTGTTCCAAAGTGACACCAAGCCTGGGTGAGATCTAGTCTGGAATCACAGAAGGATGAAGCAGTTCATATTTAAATGGTATGGCAGCGCAACACCCCCAGCCTTACGCCGCCTATTCTCATTCAAGCTCCACGGGAGAAAGTAAAAATTACCGTCGTGTTAATTACCATTCACTTTCGAATTTGAGCCTGCATTGGGACAGATGAGCCCAGGAGAGTGGATCATTTTCTTTGACACAATTGCTAAGGAAAGGCTTTTCAAATGAGTGGCTGGGCCCCCCGGTTGCCCAGGTGGAAGATGCTGAATGCTTCCTGGTACCGTTCCGGTAACGTCCAGTTTCCTCTGAGCTTCCGAAAGCTGCGGCTGAGAACCAGCAGATCCCATGGGTAGTCCTCGCTGGCCCAAACTCTTTAGTAATGCTGAGGATGGGGACTGATCAGAAAGAGCGGCTGCCATGGGTCGGGGCACTCAGGCCAAGGCCAAGTGTGGTGGCCCTGGCCACAAAGCCAGGGGAGGGCGAGACCTCGGCAGGCCTGCCGCGAACCGCTCCCTGCCTGCTCCGGCCCGGGCTCCAGGCAGACGGGGGCCGCTGTGCCCGTGCACTCGCCTGGACACCGCGGCCGGGGCGGTCAACAGTCTGCGCGCCTCCCGACGGGTCACTCTAACTTCCTCTTCTCTCCTTTCGGGTTACAGGGCCTTGTAAACACGCCCAGTAGCCCGGGCGAGCAGGAGCCGAGGCCGGCAGGCGGCAGAAGCCTCAAGCAGCTCTGACCTCTGGCACCTCCCCAATCCCCAGAGCGCAACATCTGTCCCCAGAAATCCCGAGCGGAGGCAAGAGCGCGCGCCAAGCCCTGCCTGGTTACTCAGTACTCTTCCTGGGAACAGCGCCTCCTCTCCGGCCCAGCGCCCGGGTGCCGCGCACCACGTCCGGCCCCGGCGGCGCGCCGGCACCCCTGTCTCCGCGCCGGCGCCCCCATCTCCGCGCGGGGCGCAGCACCGCGGTCTCCGCCGCCGGCCCCGGGTCCCGCAGCGCCATCTAGCGGCCGGGCACCGCCTAGCGCTCCGGGCACCGTCTCCGACTCGGCAAGGGCTCCCCCGCCTCAGTGCTCCCGGCAGTCGGACCCCCACCCGCGGCCGCCCGGCCGCCCCCAGCGCCGGAGCCCGTTCCCCCCGCGCCTCCCCGGGGGCGCAGGGGCAGGGCGGCGCGGCGCGGCGGGGGCGCGCAGCGGCGATCAGGCCCCAACGCCCGGCGCTGGGGCCTGGGGCGAGGGTAGGCGCAGCCGGCGGGCGAAGGAAGCGGGCGATGGCAGCGGCAGGCGTCCGCGGGAGGCGAGGCGGCGGCAGCAGCGGCGGCAGCAGCGGCGGCGGCGGGCGGCGCGAGGAGCCCCTGTGATTGGCACAGCCCGAGCCGGAGGAGGAGGCGAGGGGAGGGCGGAGGCGGAGGCGGAGGCGGAGGCAGGGGGCGAGCGCGGCGGCGGCCGCGAAGAGCTGTGCCTTCCACCTCTCCAGCCCCGGCAGGACGGGGGCGACCGCCGCGGGCCCGGGGCGGGGACAGCACGCAGCCTCGAGGCGCTCACCCCCGCCCGGCAGCGTCCCCGACACCCGGGGCGAGCGGGAAAGCGGCGGCGGCGGCGGCGGTGGGGGAAGGATGCAGGGCAAGAAGCCGGGCGGCTCATCGGGCGGCGGCCGGAGCGGCGAGCTGCAGGGGGACGAGGCGCAGAGGAACAAGAAGAAGAAAAAGAAGGTGTCCTGCTTCTCCAACATCAAGATCTTCCTGGTGTCCGAGTGCGCCCTGATGTTGGCTCAGGGCACGGTGGGCGCCTACCTGGTGAGTCCCCGTGTCAACTCCGCCGCGGGCCCCTTCCCCAGCGCGCCCCCGGGTCGCCGGCTGGCACGGGGAGGGGGCCGCCCGGGCGCCGGGGCAGGCGGGCATGACCTCGGCGGCGTGGAGGTTGGCGAGTGGTGCAGAGGCGGCCGCCGGGGGAGCTGCCGGCCGGGGCTGCTCAGCTAGCGGGGAGCAGGCGGGACGTGGATGCCGGCGGCAGCTCGTGCGCCCGGCGGGGGCTGGGGGTGCCCGGGGAGGAGAGGCGGCGGGCAGGTGGGCGTGAAACCATTCCTTCCCTCCCTTGAAAGTGGAGCCAGATGGTGACTTCAGGAGCCTCCTTGGAGAGGAAGGCATCGGGTTTTCAGGTGACTTGCACATGGGAAGAAAAGCCAGTTAGCACCCCGCGTCCTCTACTCTGTAGTCCATCCTCCTCGAGAACAAATCCATTATGCATCATTTTCTCCGGGCGCTTTTTCCATCCGCCAATTACGAGGGGATTTAACAGCTTAGAGTAAAACGCGCCCTAGTGCGGCCCTGATCTGAGCCGGGGCTGCAGGAGGAATAGTCCCATGCCGTACCCCAATAGCCATCTTACAGCGCCTGGGATAAAGTTACAGTACCTGGAGAGCAGCGGCGAGTTTGTGTAGTTCCTTGCTACCCACTCTCAGAGATATTCCTACCGTGGTCTCTCGCCCACAGAAGGTTGCATCATTTTGCACAACGTGCATGTATTTTATTTGCCTCCAGAAAGTGGATATTAATGCTCAAAGGGCCCATGGGTGCATAACATATCAGAGGAAACAGCTTGTAATGACTCAGCACTGTCAAGCACCTACTTTGTGGCTTTCGCCTGCCCTGCTTAGGTGGTCCCAACTTGAGTTTCAGAGAGTGCACTTCCAGACCCAAGTACAGGCCTGTCTAAACACAAAAGGATTTTTGAGAGTTTATAGTGTTAAATCATTGCTTGACTATTGACCCGAAACTGGAATCAAATGTCATAGACTTTGAGTGTTCCTGAGCAAGTTTGATGAAGATAGAATCGGACAATATTTTGGCTGTTGGATAACTACATCCAGAGATAGATCCACATACATCCTGATATATTGATGTTACCATTAATCCCTCATTCCTGGCCCTGGGTTAAAGTTAATGATGGCCAGACGCTGGGGATCTCATACTATTCGTAAATAATCTCCCAAGGCGCGAGGCTTGCTGTTAAAGGCAAGTATGAACAGTGCTTGGTCTCTGGTGTTGGGTAAGTTGCATGGTTATGACAGGGGTCTTCAAACTCAGCTCTGTTCTTGGGGTGACAGAATTCCAGGGCTTTTGAAAATAAAATGCATTTCTGTTGATCCATCTGACATGAAAGGTGTTTACATTCTTATCTCTGTTGTATATACATCCATAACTTTTATGTTGCAAGTGAACCCTGTGGCCACAAGCACATTTTGTTTTGTTTTATAAAATGCATTCATTTTGTCTATAGTTATACACAGTTTTGGAGATAGGGGATAACCGTGGTTTTGGAGTCAGTTTATCAGAGCTTCCTTAGGGAGAATTTGACTGTTAAAATATTTAAATAGGTACACATACAAGATGCAAATACACATTAATAAAATATATGAGGATTTGTACTCTAGCATATGCAAAGTACATAATACCTAACTGGGTCTATGTTTAAAAGGAGGCAGTTAGTATATCAACAGCTGCCTCCAATTTAACAGTTTGTCTCAAACCAATTTTGCTTAGTAGAGTGCATTATTCATGTGTGGCAAACGCTGACGGAACTTTGCACCCCAGGAATGATAAAGGTGCAGGCTTATTATTTTTTACTTGCAATGATCTAAGGATTTTACAAAGTAATAAGCTGGGCTTCAACTAGATGAATGGCGTAGCTCTGTTAGAAAGTTAAGAAGCAGAGTGCTCCAGGAGTGGTGAACTTCTGGAGGCAGGGCTGGCCCAAGGAGATGGAAGGTTGACTTTAATCCCAGGACAGGTGGATGGCAGGCAGGAGAGGAATTAGTCCACCTGCTGGTGGCATCCTGACATTTCTAGCTTTGGCGGATGGAAAGCCTGATTCCGTGGGATAGGATAACAGGAGTCAACAGGTGACTTGCAGAAAGCAGATGGAGGCCCCGGAGAGGACAGGCCTAGGAAATTGAATTCATTTTGGTTACTAGGAACAGAGGCGTGAGGTTCTCGGGGCTCTGCTTTGCCTGGCTGCCCTGGACTTTGTGTGGCCATCTGAACCTCATGAAAATAAATAGTTGGCTTATCAGGGTTGACTGATTCAGCTTGCTATGGGCTTTGCTCTTCTGGGCCATTTCAGAGTTTTCTCTTCATTTGTTATTTGGGAGGTAGAAAAAAAAAGTTTGTTTTTCAGCCGTGAGAGACTTCTCTGGATAATTGGAGAATGTCGGCCGTTTGCAGCAAAGGCAAATTTCTTCTTTTTAATTCCTTATGGCTTTCTTAGGAAACCTGAGACCCTGTGTCTGTAGGCGATCACACAGGCAGGGTCCACGTGCAAGGTGTGTGTTATCTGTGATTTTTACATTGGCAATCAGCCTGAGTCTCTGAGGAAGCGTTTTCAGATACCTGAGGAAGAGCTTGCCTTGAGACAATGCCAACATTGCTTCTTTTCATAGGGATGAGGGTGATTACAATTCTATGCCAATGACATTATTTCCTATTTGATTCCAAAAGTCCATGCAGCTTCTTATTTTGTCTCCTCAGGTGCCTTAAAAATATATCTGCAGGTTTCACTTTATTTCCCTCTTTTCTTTCTGAAAACACAGATTTCCCAGTGTCCTCAATGACACGAGTATCAGGCTTCCCAACTGCAGAACTGAAGCAGGAAGTTGCCTGTGATTTGAGTAGCAACTCTGAACAGCAGGACATGTGTGAGTGTGAGTGTGTGTGTGTGTGTGTGTGTGTGTGTGTGTGAGAGAGAGAATGCTTACCATCAAGAACCTGCCCAGAGAAGAAACTCAAGGAAGAACTGTACTGTGTGTAAGAAGGCCACCATTTGTTAGGTTAGGCTAGGGACCTGCAACTTTTCACCTTGGTGCTGAGGCCTTCCAGGGGAGGACAGAGGGACGTTAATCCTGACGGCCAGATTCAGGTGCAGACTGGGCCAGCTATGGATTCTGAAATCTCTTACAGTTGCAAATGTCTTAACCGGAAATCATGCTTCAGAGAAGCCAACAGTCCCAGGGCTGTTCTGTCAAAGTCACTGAAACTTCCTGACTGGATGCGAAATAACTTTTTCAGCATGAGAGGAGACCCGCTCAGTTTGATAGCCATTGTGTGTCCTTTGCTCGGGTCTTTGCTTTGGGTGGCTGCAGTCTGAACTGACCTATTTGCAAGGATGTAACATCTGCTTCAGTCTTGGGCTGTTTGGAGAAGGCGCAGGTGTATGGGAAATGCGTGGAGAGAAAGTCATTTTGTGTGCACTTTATCTGTGCTTTATAGAGACCGCTGAGATGTTTTAAGTCGTTCAGTGAGGGTAGCCCTGCGTATAGAGGTTCCTGTGTGTTATCAAATTACTGAGGACTGGAGTGGATAAGGATGTGTACAGGAAATTAAAACCTCTGACACCTCTGGGTAATTACGATTGAGGCTCACATACAAATGCATTTGAATGTCCTCAGGATGAAAACTGAAAAAAGGCCAGTCTGTCTCCTGCATGGAGCACACAGGCAGGTCTTGTGAGCCAGGGTAGGTATTTTCCCGTTGAGAGTTGTGCTAAAGTAAGTTCGAGGTTGTGGTGACAAAGTAATGACATAGATGACTGCGTATGGTTAACGAGGCTCTACCTCACTGCTTGAGAGTCACTTTTTTTTTTTAGGCCTAAGAACATTCTGGGCTTGCAATTAATGTGTGAGGTGAAACTGCTGGCTTTGTTTTGTTTTGTTTTGTTTTCCTAAAGAAGCATCATTTAAAGATGGGTTTTTGCATATCCAACCCAGAAACAGACAGCTGAGCGACATTTTTAAAGTCCTTGTCAAATTAGTATGATGACTAAGGTAACTGTATTTTACTTAATCAAATTATTTTATACACTTATGGTTACTCAAAGTGACAAATTCCCTACCATTTGCATAATTACTATGTAGCCTCAGATAGTAAGAAATAAGATTAGCCTGTTTTTTTTTTTCCTCTCTTACAGCTTGATTTAAAATGTTTAGCTAATAATTATTGAGGGAAAAAATGTATTTCTGAAAATTCCTTTCCAATAGCTTTGTGTACATACCTTTGTTTCTGAGGGGGTTTTCACTTGTCTGTTTGATAATAGAAGAAACCGAATTGGTTGCAAAGTGAGCAAGAGCTCTTTCCTGAATTTTGTTAACTCTCCCCCACTTCAGTTTTGGACACCTTATAGCAAGGATGACCGAGAGGCCTCTCTGCGGTGGCATTGCCTTGCTAATCAATTGCTCAGCGTGTACAGCTCATCTCGCGTGCTGCTGCCACGGTGTAGCTCTGTGTCATGCTGGATAGCTTTCCTCTTGTGCAAAGTGCTGGTGAACAGCTGGGTAAAGGCAGCTCGAGCAAGAGGATCTCTGTGAATTTATCTTGCATATTAAAAGCAAACTTCGAGGTGCCTCCTTGGTCAGGGACCGAATTCGCTTAGCAGACTGGCCTGGGAATTAGTAAGCATGGTGTTGCAAAGACGTTGAGGATACAGCCGCGTTTCATGTAGAAGTGGTGGAGAATAAAACGCCCTATTGGTAGCATTCTCTGGTCTTCCAACTTGCTCAGATTTCACTACAGACATCTTTTAATAAACTTGTTTCTACAAAGTAGAGTCAAAGGAAAGCTCTTCACTTCTGTTTTGCATATGTACTCTACCGTATTCTGCACACTCCTGTGTGCATTATATATTTCCGCAGTGGTCATTTTGATTGTGTGGCTTTCACGTGGATTTGGAACCCAGTCTCCCCTAAAGACAAGTCAGCTACATTTTCTTCCCTCCCAAAAATGCCTTTGGTAATCTAGATCAGAAA